TGGTTTGACATTATGGTCCTTTTAGATTCTATGTACCTCGGTGGCGACGAGTGCTGATGTGAACTATTCTTTATATTATCTCAAACCACACCATTGTTTTTTTTTTTAACCTCTAACATCAGTAAGACATTTTCATCCACATAACTGTAACTCACTGGATATTTTCTCTTTTTCAAATCATTATCTGTAAATCTAAAAGATGACTCTGCATGAAAATCCCAGATCACATCTAAAGTACTCAGACCATCCAGTCTAACACCAACAAGACACTTGATATGGGTAGCGAGGAGTGCCAAATATAATTAAAAAAATGAACAAATAAAATTATTATTTAAATGTGTTATTTTTTAAAACTACAAATGAACACATAATTTATTAAATATAGACCTAATTAATGTGCCTCAAATAAATGTATTGACTTAATTTAAAAAAACTAGATATAATTATTTCATGATTTAAGAAATTATTATGTTCCTGTGCTGAAAAACATCATGAATTAAAATAAACTGTCAACTTCACCTATCAGGCTCAGTGGGCGGGATTAGGATCGCTTCTATATTATAACTGGCTGCAACAAGTCAAGACAACTTCTCCCATGTTTTCTTTAGCTAACAGGTCGATATCTCTGCTGGAAAGTGCAAAAATAACTTTAACAACATATTTAAATTTTTGCTATTTATTTACCACAAACTCTGGGTGAGCAACTCCAGCCTCTATTTCCCTAGTTTGGTCCGAAATATCTCTAATAAGTTCACAAGAGAGCCTTAGCCAGTCATAGCGAGTGGGTGGAGCCAACGTTGGTCCCGGCTGAAGTCTGAGGCAGCTTCTTCCATGCAGAACCTCAGTAAGCTCTCTTGTGAACTTATCAGAGGTATTTCAGAACAAACTAGACATATAGAGTCAGGAGTATTGCTCGCCCAGAGTTTGTAGTAAATAAATTACAACAATTTGTTGTAGTGATTTTCAAACTTACAGTAAAAATATTGACCCAGAGTCAAAGCAAACTTGGAAGAAGTTGTCTAAACTTGCTGCTTGAAAGAGCCAATCAGATGTCAGGGTCCCTATAGAAGCAGCCCTTCTCCCGCCTGCTGAGTTTGATGGGAAGTTGACAGTTTAAATGAATTCTTGCTTTGCTTCACCACAGGAAAAATACATAATTTATTAAAACATTAAATACTTATATCTTGTTTTAAAAATAAAATGTATACATTTAATAGGAGCACATATAATTAATCATATATTTAATGAATCATTTATGGATGACATTCTAGTTTTAATAAATGAAAGACTGTTGTCCTAAAACTTGTCTTTTTCGTTAAATCGAATGATGTGATAGAATAAACTTTTCATGATGGGGCTAACTGGTAGGATTGTGGTCATTACAAGTCTGTCTATTAATTTGAATCTGACTAACATCTGAATATCCTATCACTTAGTAACACCTTAAAGTGATTCATGGAGGAAAAAGGAAAATGTGTACTAACTTTTACAAGATGTTCCATCAAAACCAAGTCTGTAGCCAATACGGCAGCGGCAGGTTCTAGACTTGTAACTTCCACTCAGAAGGCAAATCTGAGAACATCCTCCTGGCTTTCCATATGAATCCATTTCACATGCATGGCTCCTGACTGGGGAAAAATACAAAAGACCAAAACTAATGTTGTATGCCACAGAAGTTTTTTTTTTTTTTTTTCTAGTGTACACCTTGTGAGTCACGGATGGTAGACTGTGACACATACTTGCACATGTTTACTTATTGGAAAATGTCCTTTACCTTTCGGTTGAGCGAGTTTGTGGTAAACACGCAGGGCTCTAGAATTCCCCAGGCTGGATAATGTCCTGCTCTCTGCTGTGATGTTGAACCTGTTCACCTGCAGCAACTCCACAGATGAACTTTCCTCTGAAGGGGCAGAGTGCAGGGCGTAGAGGTAGTCCTCAAACACAGCTAATGCATATACGTATGACACCTGAAACATAAGAAAAAGCCAATTTGTCTTTTTTTTTAAACACAAGTCAAACCACAAGAGGAAAGAGAAAACAACAAAGCAGATTCAATATGAGCTGTATCCCAAGCATGCGTCAAGCACAGGAGAGATGGGAAATGGAGGTGTGGTCGTCTAGTACACTTGGCAGCCTGTCCAGGGTCAAAAGCTGGACTCCACTGGGAGACTGCTGGCCCTGACACAACCACCCTCCATGCTACATTTAGCAGGCTGACACCTACACAAAGCAACATGGCTGGATGAGCTATGTTCACAGGAAATACACCTAGGCTCACTGCCCCACACCTTTGCATCAGGGGCATTGAGAAACATGCTTCAGGAAAAAAAATATAACAAATTAAACCACTCATCCTTCTCTCTGTCTGTGGAATTTGGCTTCAACACTCTACCAAGTAGATCTTAAAAAAATTCAATTAAAACAAGTCAAATGTCAATAATGTTCATTTTTAATTTGTTTTAATTCTTTGGCTAATTTTTTTTAAGTATCCAATGATGGAAAATTGTATTTGTAAGAAGAATATTTAATTGTTGTTTTATTTAAATTTTTGCTTCCCTTTCAAAAAGTAAAGTTGGATGTTGTTTTTATGCTAAACGTCAACGACACAGGAAGCATGTCAGTACAGACAAAAAGTGAAAGGTTGACATTCAGTCACCCTGAGCATGAATGTCATTAACTTGTGGGCCTTTTAAGGATGCATTTGAAACATTCTGTTCAGGGTCAAAATTACAGTATGACTGCAGGCATAAATATGTGTATGCACCCACAGTAATATTTGCTTAGAAAATCCTCATACGGACTCTCTTTGATCAAATTCTTTTAGTAACTTTCAAAATGCTTCTGGCACAATTCTGAGTGAATGTTTGACCTTGATGTTTGACCATTCAGTAAGGCTGAGGATTGGGTTTGGGTTATTTGGATAAAACAATTGGTCACCAAAATCTATGCTTGCAAAAAAACTTTTATTTATTTATTTATTTATTTATTTATTTATTTATTTATTTATTTATTTATTTTGCAAGCAGGCACCAATAAAGGAAAAAAAATTGGTCATACTTAATATTGGACTAAAATCTGCAACTGCCCACTTGGCCAAGAAAAAAAAAAAAACTTTTTTAAAGAGAAGTTTTACTCTCAGACCAAGC